AAAAAAAAAAAAAAAAAAAAAATCAACTGACTGTAAATATGAGAGTTTATTTCTGGACTCTCAATTCTATTACATTGTTCTTTATGTTTATCCTAGTTTCAGGACCAATCTGTCTTGATTACTGTAGCTTTGTAGTAAGTTTTGAAATCAAGAAGTGTTAAGTTCCAACTTTGTTCTTTTTCAAGATTATTTTGGTTATTGTCTCCCTTGCATTTCCATATGAATTTTAGGACCAGCTTGTTAATTTCTTTTAAAAAGTCAACTGAAATTTTGGCACAGATTGCTTTGACTCTAGGTTCAACATCTTTTTAAAGCATTTCAAATATGGTTCGCTTTTCTTTTTTAATAGTTTGCTTTCATTTTTAAAAAAAATCTTGGTACATGAACAAAGCACACTCCAGGTTCCTAGATAAGAACCTCTGTATTGGATAGTTGAAAATATATAACATGGCAGGACAGAGAATTTAGAGCATCTGTTTTGTGATCATCTCATAGAGCTTCATAGCCAACTTTCCTATGTCTTCTGTTTCCCCTTTCCCATCTAAAAATAGGCTTTTGGAGTATTTCCAATTATTTTTAATACATATCCAAGCTATCATTGTCCTCATTTAAACTACTTGGTACAATGAGAACATATGGTCACAGGTAGGGGAGCATCACACAGTGGGGTCTGTTGGTGGGCGGGCCAAGGGAGGGACAATTGGGGGGATGGGGAGGTCCAGGAGGGATAACATGGGGAGAAATGCCAGATGTAGGTGATGGGGATGGAGGCAGCAAACCACATTGCCATGTGTGTACCTATGCAACAACCCTGCATGATCCGTACATGTACCCCAGAACCTAAAGTACAATTAAAAAAAAAAACAAAAAACTACTTGATAAATTCAGCATATTAGGTCAACAATTTTTGTGACATTGTAATTTGAAATTTATAACATTTTCCAGGTTTAAATTTGGACTTGGCTTTTGAAATCTCTATATACATCTGAGAAAGCTAGAGAAATATATAGTTTCTAGGAAACACTCTTAAGTATTTAGGATTTTATAGCTAGATATTTACCTAGTTCCACAGTTTTATCCATAAAGCAGATGTAGCTTTCCTAAGGAGGGTAGGAAAGTGAGTGTAGGTGGGGACTATTAATGACTAGCCCAAAGTATGGATCATAGATCTTTAATTTTTTTTTTTTTTTTTTGAGACAGCATCTCATTCTGTTACCCAGGCTAGAGTGTGGTGACAAGATCTTGGCTCACTGCAAACTCTTCCTCCTGGGATTAAGTGATTCTCCTGCCTCAGCCTCCCAAGTAGCTGGGATTGCAGGCACGTGCCACCATGCCTGGCTAATTTTTGTATTTTTAGTAGAGATAGAGTTTCACCATGTTGTCTAGACTGGTCTCAAACTCCTGACCTCAGGTGATGCACCTGCCTCAGTCTCCCAAAGTGCTGGCATTACAGGCGTGAGCCACTGTGCCTGGCCCATAGATGCTAATTTTAATTTTAAGAAACCAATAAAAGAAAGAGGAGCTGGGCATCATGGCTCACGCCTGTAATCCTAGTGCTTTGGGAGGCCAAGGCAGGAGGATTGCTTGAGGCCAGGAGTTCAAGACTAGCCTGGGCAACATAATGAGACCCTGTCTCTACTAAAAATAAAAATCAAATTAAAAAGGACAAAAAAGCAGATGAACTAGAAAGGGTAAAAAAAAAGATACATGAATACAGATTTAGTATCCCTTATCTGAAATGCCTAGGACCAAAATTGTTTTGGATTTATGATTTCAGGATATCCATACCATTTGAGCATTGAAAATATGAAATCCAAAATATTCCAAAGAGCATTGCTTGGCAGCATGACTTTTTGAGTGTCGTGTTGGTACTCAAAAAGTTTTCGATTTGGGAACATTTCAGATTCCAGATTCTCAGATTAGGGATGCTCAACCTGTATGAGTTTTTAAAAAGTCCATTTTGTGTATTATATTTTGGACTAGTTCAGGAAATTACTCTTGAAAAAAGAGTATTGTGATTTATATTGGCTTTACGGTAATATCAGCAGAATCAATTTTTTAAAATATAAACTAGTGGTTCCAGTCTGGGTCCATGATAGTAGTAATGGAAGTCCATGAACTATTTTCAGCGTTTCCTGAAGACCAACAGAAATTAAAGATTTATCTCCAATAATATTACACAGGTGAATGAAACTGTCAAACATTTTATCCTGATCTAAAGTTATTTTAGCTAGGTACAGTAACATTGTTTATTTTTCACTGGTTAGAATCATTAATTGACAGTTGTACATGTCTCTGGGTAAATGAATTTTTAATCTTAGTTGTCCTGTAAAGCATTATAAAATACAGGGTCCAAGTAAAGGTTAAAAAAAAAAAGAAAGAACCACATTTTCAAAAGTTTTTTTTCTTCCTTAACTACAGTCTGCTTTTAAAACGACTGTGACATGTTCCCTTTTTGGTGACAATTTCAAGTTCAGTTGTTAACTGTTGTTTGACTTATTTCTCCAGAGATTGCCCTCAGTCCCAATAATCACGAAGTACACATCTATAAGAAGAACGGGAGCCAGTGGGTAAAAGCTCATGAACTCAAGGAGCACAATGGACACATCACAGGTAAAGGAAGATAGCCATGAGCTTAGTATGACATTTCCAAATCATGCAACTCTTCCTTTTAGATAAAGAGCCTAGTAAACCCAGTTGGCCATAATATTTAAAGTAATGCAGCATTTACTGAATTTCCTTAAAATTTTAGAGAAAATACTATAATAATGATGTCAGTTATTAAGTGCTTCTTGTAGCCCCAGCGGGTACCCAGCACTCTACTGTTGCTATGGAAAGCCCTGAACCTACCCTGAGGTCTAAAGAGCTAAAATTTGGAGATGAGACATGCAATTGAAAGCTAGATAACATGAAAATGTAGGCCGGGCGCAGTGGCTCACGCCTGTAATCCCACCACTTTGGGAGGCCGAGGCGGGTGGATCACGAGGTCAAGAGATCGAGACCATCCTGGTCAACATGGTGAAACCCCGTCTCTACTAAAAATACAAAAAATCAGCTGGGCATGGTGGCACGTGCCTGTAATCCCAGCTACTTAGGAGGCTGAGGCAGGAGAATTGCCTGAACCCGGGACGCGGAGGTTGCGGTGAGCCGAGATTGCGCCATTGCACTCCAGCCTGGGTAACAAGGGAAAAACCCCCTCTCAAAAAAAAAAAAAAAAAAAGAAAATGTAGACAACATGAAAACATGAGCCAAACTGTATTTCCAAGTGTCTTCCAAAAATTTCCTTTGTGTTTTGGGGATAAGGATGACTTTTCAGAGTATTGAAAAGAACTAAGTAATATCATAAACACCCATATCAGATAATTGCCACCAGAATTACCAACTTTTTTCCTCTGCCAGGAAGCAATTTATTTTCCTGCATCAGGAAACTTAAGGAAAAAGGATATAATAATAAGGAATATAACTCGAGATAATGGTAAAGTCCGATTCCTCTCCCCACAAAGGCAGAGTGTAATTTGCTATGGCAGCATTCCAGTCCATTTTTAATACATTTTCATACATATATTTATAAACAAGTTTAGGCCAAGCACAGTAGCTCACACCTGCAATCCCAGCACTTTAGGAGGCCAAGGTGAGAGGATTGCTTGAGCCCAGGAGTTCAAGACTAGCCTGGGCAACATAATGAGACCCCTCTCTCTACAAATAAAAAATTAGCACAGTATCGTGGCACATACCTGTCGTCCCACCTGTCGTCCCAGCTACTTGGGAGGCTGAGGTGGGAGGATCACTTGAGACAAGAAGATCAAGGCTGCAGTGAGCTATGATCACACCTCTGCACTCAAGCCTGGGCGACAGAGCAAGACCCTTGTCTCAAAAGAAAAAAGAGAAAACGATCTTTAGGACTATTGGCTAGTATTTTTTGAAGCCACGTAAATGGAATGATATTATGCATCTCCAGCAACTTGCTTTTGAATTCACGATTGTTTCTGAAATCCGTCTATGCTGCCGTGTAGAGCAAGTTCATTCCTTTTAACTGCTCTAGCGTTTTATACCTCACTTATTTACGCTTTCCGCCATTGAAGGACATTTAGGTTGTTCCAATATTTCCATATTACATGGAAGTGCTGAATAAGCATCCCTTGATCTCTGTACATATGTGTGAATGTTTGTAGATGGGAGATGTGTTAATACCACAGGGTGTGCACATCCGCAGTGTTGCCAGGGTCATTCCCACCTGTCCTTTATGAGAGTGCCCTTTTTCCCACACCCTGCCACGTATTTGAGATGGTACGACTGACGAACGCATGAAAGGTTCATCTATCTGCTGCTTCTGTAAGTTGTTTTTTCTAATTAATGGAAAAGTTGAGCATACTTTCACACATGTATTAGCCATGAGAGTTTTTCTTCCTTGTGACTGGCTTGTTCATAACGACTGATCATTTTTTCATTTATTTTTTGTTTTTCTTTTTTCTGTTTTTGTTTGTTTTGAGATGGAGTCTCACTGTGTCACCCAGGCTGGATGCAGTGGAACAAGCTTGGCTCACTGCAATCTCCACCTTCCAGGTTCAAGTGATTCTCCACCTCAGCCTCCCGAGTAGCTGGGATTACAGGTGCCTGCCACCATGCCTGGCTGGTTTTTTTTTTTTTTTTTTTTTTTGAGATGGAGGCTCGCTCTGTCACCCAGGCTGGAGTGCAATGGCACAATCTCCACAATCTCGGCTCACTGCAACCTCCGCCTCTCAGTAGCTAGAACTACAGACGCATGCCACCACACCTGGCTAATTTTTGTATTTTCAGTGGATACTGGGCTAGGCTCAATCTCCTGACATGATCTACCCGCCTCGGACTCCCAAAGTGCTGGGATTACAGTCATCAGCCACCTCACCCAGCCTAATTTTTGTATTTTTAGTACAGTTGGGGTTTCACCACATTGGCCTGGCTGGTCTCAAACTCCTGACCTCAGGTGATCCACCTGCCTTGGCATCCCAAACTGCTGGGATTATAGGCATGAGCCACTGTGTCCAGCATATCGTTTTCTTATTGACTTGTAAAAGACTGGATCTTTTTTTTTTTTTGAGACATAGTTTCGCTCTTGTTGCCCAGGCTGGAGTACAGTGACATAACCTCAGCTCACTGCAACCTCTGCCTCCCAGGTTCAAGCTATTCTCCTGCCTTAGCCTCCCAAGTAGGTGAGATTACAGGGACATGCGCCACCCCACCCAGCTAATTTTTGTATTTTTAGTAGAGACAGGGTTTCGCCATGTTGACCAGGTCTCGAACTCCTGACCTCAAGTGATCTGCCCACCTCAGCTTCCCAAAATTATAGGTGTGAGCCACTGCACCTGGCTTCAAGTCCAGATTTTTTTCTTCTTTCTGCCATCTTGAGTTTCCTCTCTCCTCAAAATCACATTTTCATTTAATTGGGCAGCAACAATACTTATTATCAGTTTGTTTTGTCTTTTTTTTTTTTTTTGAGATGGAGTCTCGCTCTGTTGCCCATGCTGGATGCAGTTGACATAATCTCAGCTCACTGCAACCCCCACCTCCCTGGTTCAAGTGATTCTCCTGCCTCAGCCTTCCAAGTACCTGGGATTAGAGGGGCGCACACCATCATGCCCAGCTAATTTTTGTATTTTGAGTAGAGACAGAATTTCGCCATGTTAACCATGCTGGTCTTTAACTCTTGACCTCAAGTGATCCACCCGTCTCAGCCTCCCAAAGTGCTGGGATTACAGGTGTGAACCACCACACCCGGCCTTTTTTTTTTCTTTTAGATAGGATCTTGCACTGTCGCCCAGTCTCCCAGGCTAGAGTGATCACAGCTCTCTACAGCCTCAACCTCCTGGGGTTAAGCCATCCTCCCACCTCAGCCTCCCCAGGAGCTGGTACTACAGGTGTGCGCCACCACACCATGCTAATTTTTTTGTAAAGATAGGTTTCACCATGTTGCCCTGGCTGATTTTTTGTTCTTTTAGTTGGATTCTGCAATTTCACCTCTAATACTGATGAGCTTGAAGATATCCTTACCCAAATAAGAGAAGTTTGCATGTTTTGCCATTCTGCATCCTTTACAGAAGTTGTCCTGCATTTTTCAGCCATAACTTAGGATCACCCCTGCTTTGACCAGTGATTTGTAAATAATAATCTTGAGCACTGGGAGCTGAGTATATTACCAAACCAGCACCAAAGACAGCGTTCTATTTTTGTCACTGTTCATTTCCCACAACCTTATTTCTATTAGGTTTGGCCTATTTTCTGAAGTTCCTTTGCCAGTGGCCTTACAGCCTAAGAATAAGAACACTTATATTTTTAATTGGAATCTTAGGCCGATGCAGTGGCTCACGCCTATAATCCCACCACTCTGGGAGGCCAAGGTGGGTGGATCAACTGAGGTCAGGAGTTCAGACCAGACTGATCAACATGGCAAAATCCTGTCTCTACTAAAAATACAAAAATTAGCCAGGCGTGGTGGTGTACACCTGTAATCCTAGCTACTCGGAAGGCTGAGGCATGAGAATTGCTTGAACTCAGGGGCAGAGGTTGCATTGAGCCAAGACAGCACCACTACATTCCAGCCTGGGGGATAGAGTGTTTTTTCTCCTCTACTTCTCTTTTGGGGTTCTTTGAACTTGAGCTTGTTTTCTGTCTAGCTGCTCACTTGGCATTTTTTAGATCTGAAAAAACTTGTTGGAAAAATCTAAATATAACTCTGGGTCAGGAGATCAAGGATCACACATATTTTCTCAGAAAGATAATAACTTTAGTGGGGAAAAAATATTTTCTTTTTTTTTTTTTTTTTTTTTTTTTTTTTTT